TGATGTTAAATGGTCAGTTCTATATGTTTGAGCTTGCGTTCTTGTTCTTTTTCAGGCGATTCACCTTTTATGATGTCTGCCCTCTGAGTTAGGCACACCTCTAACCTCCAAGTGTATGAAATAATAAATAAGTAAATAAATAAATGTAGCGCTAGCGGCATTGCAGAAAACGTTCTCAAGGCTGTATTCCAAAAGTAGGACAAAACACGCAAAGAACTATTTTTCTAATGAACTGAAATTTGATTAAACTTCAATTTTTAGTTTCATGATCGAAATTGAAATTAGAATTTAATCGAATTCCAATCGGTTAATTTTTTTCATTAACAACTCAATAATAGAGCACAGAGAACTATTTTTCTAATGCAACAAAATTTGATTAAATTTTTTAAATTTGAAAGCAACGATTCTGATTGGTGGTTATAGACAATGCGACATAGAGGGGGATTTAGAAAGGGGATATGAAGGCTATGGACATGTGACATTGACATTGGCAGCTGAAACTGATGGGTAACTAATTACGTCGACTATATTTAGCCCTTCAACCAATCATTCCTTGGGAACATTACTGCTTAATGCTGGTAAACATTATGCATAAAAACGGTATGAGGGCAGACCGAGGTACTAAACAATAAGTAAACGGTAAATAAACGATAAATGAACGGTAAATAAGTGCCAGGTCAACATAGAACTGACAAAATTTTGTGTTTTCTCCGTAGAACAGAGGTAGCACACCTGCTAAGGGCGCTGCTCTGAATATACGCTACTCATTGGATCGAGATCCTCCCATGCACATAGTCTCCTACCCCACATACCATCTGTATGGTTGAGATGGGAAGGTTAAGGAGAAGTATGAATGTGAAGTGGGAGGGAAGTGAACGACTGGAAGTTCGATTAGTTCTACCCTAGAGGATGGGAGATTCGTCCTCACTAGAGGAAACAGATTATTGATTGGAAATAATTAAAGGAAATTAATTATTCAGAGTAAATATGCACTATCCGGGTGAGAGCGTATTTGTGCCGTCAGCGTGGAGGGGATGAATCGCCCCATGCCATTCAGAATGAGAGGCGCTTCCCACGTACGGATTGATTAGTGAAGTTTTTACTACTACCACTTCACCCCTACCTTCGGTATTACTACACAGAATCCTTCTTACTCACTAAGCGCTCCAGTAAAAGATTGAACTCGGACGGCGTCAAGTGCGTACGGTAGGTGGCCGAGTACCTTGGAGCCGAAATACTTCAGTTTGCCTTTGCCTAACACATGATTTGAAGTCCGAAGTAGTCTATTCTCTATGCAGTAGAGCTATAAGTTGCTTTTAACCTTTTTCGACAGTGCCTATGTTTGTCGAATGAGCTCAGGAGATAAGTCGAAGTACGTGCCCATCAGTAAAAGTTCGGGGTTCGCTTTGGAAGCAAAAAGAACTTTCCAGAAAACCATGCTTCTTTGACCGAACAAAACTCGTTTCTGCCATTTAATAGGTAATGGGTTGAAGTGGTGTAGTGATAAGTAGCGCATTATCACCCACGCAAGGTCACGGGTTCAAATCCTGGGTACAAACCACCAAGGCCAACATGCCTTCCATCCCATCGGGTCGGTCAATTGGTATCAGACTCGTTTGGTAGGGTATAAGCATTGACTTGTCTATAGGCTATCAACAGCAAGACATTGCATAGGCTATATACGCATTCAATACACCGCTACGATTCTGGACGAAAGTTGAATGCGTGGGCGCATCCCTCAGACGGGATCGGCTAACGCCCGGAGATTTTATTCTTTCTTCATTCTCAATGGACAATATTCAAGTACCCGGCAGAAGTAAAACTGAAACATTCATAATTACCCTGTCTTTTCAGATAAATCAAGATAAACGCATAATTATCCCGCATAGAGCAACAGGGCAAATTCTGCAGGCCGAACTTTTAACCTCGAATCAATAAATCAATTTATTTTTGCACTGAATATTCATTCCTAAAAAGTTAACAGTTTTGTCAGCAAGTATTCCAAAGGCAAAAAGTGATACGGTGTAAAACCGAAAAAGTCTTCGAAGATTTGGTGTGTTGATGTTTTCAAGCATCCTCCTTTCACCTGATTATCCGCCTACGGTGGACCTATTTCACTTTAAAGCGAGTATTTTAACATGATACATGCACGGCCCCACAATCACCAAGTGGGTACTCCCCTCAATGTTCGTAGCAACGATACAGTTAGGTTGACAAGATTAACCTACTCGTCATACGGGAACCTAAATCCACCCGAAACACCCAAATTCAAGTTTTTTTCTGTCTTTCGAATATAATTCGGTTAAGATTGAGTTACTGTTTTGAGTTGAGCTCAGCTTATCGAGCTTTTCAGGACATTTGCTCCAAAATTTAGAAACGCTCCCTGCTGGAATAGTTAAAGGCAGGGTTCACGATAATTTTGAGATATCCTTTTTAAGTCGAAAGGAGGGAGCATTTTAGGAATAGCGCACCGGTGGTGAAGGAATAGAGTATATGCACCGATTTTGGCGAAAAATAAATTTCCTCAAAAGTAAGGAAAATAGAGGTCGGACGAGATTGACGTGACGAAAATGACATGGATTTGGTATTCGGACGAGATTTCAATTGTTGCAAATGCGTCAGAGCTGACTACATCAAGCCAAAATCATCCAGAATTGCCTTTCACTGTCGCTACGAGTCAGGCTGTTTGAACTTCTTACATTGGTTCCCCTGTGGATGATGCAGCCTCTACAATGCCTTGAAACTCGTTCACTATGGGTGTGGCATCCACACGATACAATCTCTGGCCCCTTTTGTGCCCTATCCCGGGCGTTTCTCGACCTGACATCGGCCCATATGGTATCAGGAAGGACCTCGAATTAATCTTATGGGTAAATCTCAGAAACCATTTTTTTCATGAACTGTGCCTTTAAATTTCAAGGCAATCTCTTAAGTTAGAAGACGTACTCATCTTTGTTAGAGAAGATTGCGATAGGATTCTTTACCATGCTCTGCACAAAACTGTAGCCGACTTGATTACAAATGAGCAATTCCTCTGCTAAGGCGTCCTTAATATCACTACCGGGCATGTCATGGTGTATTGATCGCCCCTTATTCCCTTATCAGAGCAAATTACACTGGTGAAATTCATACTGGGCGATTACATGGAACTAATGGTATCCATTAAAACAAAGATCACCCTTTAATGGGGAGTTTGTTTCGTATTCGTTTCAAGATGCTATCCATCATGATACGATACACCGTGTACGACGGCTATATAACCACTGACAACTGGGCTTTACTCACAATGCTCGTCTGTAGCTCGTCACATCGGCTCTCTAGCTGACCTGTTCCGGTCCCCTGCTCGCCTATTTCTGATTCTGATATTTCTGATACTGCGGACTAACATGGAGGCGAAGGGGTAGTGAAAAGTGGCGTAATATGACACGTTCACGGTTCAGGTGTCATGAGATCCTGGTCGATCTCACCCAGGCCATCCGAATCTCCCATCCTTAGGGAAGACCAGTGGGTACCAGACTCGTCTGGGAAGATTGTAGTTCTGATCCGTATATGGAGTGGAAACCGGCCATTGTATCGGCTACATATGCATTCAACGCCACTGCTATTTCGAAAGGCAATGCTCAACCCAAAACGGGACTGATCAGCGCTGACACCACCAGTTATAGACCTTGGGAACCACCAATCTGATAACCACGGCCTTGGCAATCGAACGGTATGTATTGCAGTTGTGCAACCTGACTTGCGAAGGTAATATGGGGTGATCAACAGCAGAAAAAAACGTTACCGGGCAAAAAGTCAGCTACGAAATTCCTCCAGAATACTGGTTGAGGTCCGGGATTGTTTATCGACTTCACCATTACCTCCTGAGACGAGGACGACATCCTTCTTCAAATTTGACTGTGTGCCGTAGGAAGAAACTGTTCCAGGCTGGTCCTTTTCAACTTTTTTCAAAGAACATTTCGTAGCTCTCAATAAGCTGGGTTCAATGCCACACTCAAGATTGAAAAGGTCCACCCTCCCTCAAATTGAATTATAACAAAAAAAAAAGAATTACAGAAACAATAGGTGTTTTTCGCTTGAATTAAGGACCCTTACGGTAAATACTGTAAATGGGATACTAGGGAAGGTGAAGGTTGAAAGAAAAACGAAAAAGAGCTTAATAACAAAAAGAAAGGATAACAAAGTAAAGTTGGAGTCAAAAAAGAAGCGGAGCATTGATAGTAGTAGTATAGCATAGTATCTACGACGGTTGATGACAGTATCGAAATCTCTTGAAGTCTTCTGACCCCAATCGATTTGATTTCGGGATGCGCCCAGCGTTCGATTTCCATTCAGAATCGTATTTGCATTTTGATGTGTAGACCTATGTATACAATGACATCCGGTGGCCAGTCAATGTACAAGTCCGTGCTTCGATCCTCCCAAACGATTTGGTACCAATTAACCGACTCCACAAGGAGCGAAAACCTGGTTGGTCTTTGCAGATACGATCTGGAATTCGACCCCGTGACCATGTGTGTCTGATAACGCGCCACTTACCACAACACTACGTCTGCCGTTGAACACAATGAGAAAATATTAAAGATACGTGTGACAACGCGGTCTAAAGAGACCAAAGACTACCCTGTTAGCGAACTTCCGATTAGATAGTGACTCATAGCTTGTATTCTTTTCAGTGTAACTTTCTTTCTTCAATGATATGCGATTCTTGGGGGTTACTGCAAGGTCGTTTGAGCGCCGACTTGTTCTTTCACCGCTTTCTTTAGTTTTACACAGCCTCAAAAACGGCTATAAAAAGGGCGCTGGTCATAATGTTGAACACAGTCGACATAATGAAAACTGTTGCTTTTGTCCTCCTCGCCATTCTCGCCCTCGCTTCGTAAGTTCACTATAAACCTATTATCAATTCCCATTTTTATTTTTGTTCTCAACTTAATTCTCACTGGACACACTTTTCAGAGCGGCTCCTCAACGGACAGTCATTCAGAANGCTGGTCATAATGTTGAACACAGTCGACATAATGAAAACTGTTGCTTTTGTCCTCCTCGCCATTCTCGCCCTCGCTTCGTAAGTTCGACATAAACCTATTACCAACTTTCCTTTTTATTTTTATTCGTAACTAAATTCTCACTCAACATACTTTTCAGAGCGGCTCCTCAACGGACAGTCATTCAGAAGACTGTTATCACCTCACCAGGACAAGGAGCTTTCGGACCAGGTTTCGGAACAGGATTCAACAGAGGAGGATTCGGTACTGGACCAGGATTTGGTGGACAACCTTTCGGAAGAGGATTTGGTGTACAACAACCAACTGTTGTCAAGAAGACTGTCATCATCAATCGCGGTTAAACGGGCCACAATCAGTATCTCTCTTTATTGAACATAACTTTGAATCTCTGACAAGAAATTTTGATAAATTTCTAAATCTAGACAGACATGAACGCTTTCCTCAGTACATACGGGTAATTCAGGCTTCCTGATGAATCATCCAACAGTTTATACTTAGAAATTAGTTAAGAACCAGAGTGGAAAGAAAAAACATTCCATCATAATCATATACGATTCTACCAGACTGATAGCGATCTAATCGATGAACGATCGCGGACTTTAGAGCGATTTTGAGAAGATCTGATCACACCAAAGCATTTCTTCTGTTGTGGAGGGCCCCAAATATTAGCATTACGTGAAGACTTAGGAATTTTAACAACAACTACATGGCAAAATGCCAGCGGCCCAACAATGGTCCTGGAACGATTCCCGGTGTCGACCACAGCCGACACTGCGTCCCATTTCGGGAAATGCGAGCACAGATCACTCCATATCACGCGATCATGTGAATTACACGCTGTTCTCTCTGACCTGGGAGATCTGATAGGGGAGAACACGAGGTTGAAAATGGAAACGAAGCAAACTTCTGAGAAAGTTGTGATCAATGTTGGGAAACATTTTCCTCGGGGAGCCAATGGTCCATATTGAAGTCGTGTAGCTAGCTTCTGGTAAGGAAATAGGTGGTGGCTAAGTCACAAGGATAAGCCGTGTCCGAAGTTTGAGGCCACACAACAGAGAAAATCAGGTTGTCCCTATTATCCCTTAGTTCATCGAAGCTCCGAATCGATTACTAATTCCATTGCTATTCTTTCAAACAAAGATGGAAGATTCTTCCGAACTCGAGAGACTGCCCGAAAATGAAACCTCCCCACTTATTCAAAACCCCATTTTGTA